TGGGGAGGGAGGGGTCAAATGAGGAGCTGATGCCAGGGGCTTAAGTGGAGAGCAAATGTTTTGAGAATGATGTGGGCAATGAATGTACAAATGTGTTTTACACAATTGGTGTATGTATGGATTGTGGTAAGAGTTGTATGTGCCCCTAATAAAATGATTTTTTTAAAATGACAACATTAAGACAAATGCCTATGTAGAACCTGGGCCTGGGAATCTATGAAACCCAACCTGAAACTATCTGAGTGGCGTGTATAAGTGGACTGGAAGCTGGTGTGTTCTGCCCAGGACTTCAGCAGTGAGCAGCTCTCTTGGCAAGAGAGCAACAAGCCAGGATCCCGCCCCTTATCTCCCAGGAGTCACTTCTGGCTCCTCTCTGCCCCATCAGGGGTGAGCTGGAGGCTCCAGGCGCCACACATTCCCTAGACAACCAGACAACTGCAGGGGTGGGGACGGGGCGGGCTGAAGGGCTGGGGGCGGGGCTGAAGAGAGCCGGGGCGGGGCCTTGGTGAAGCGAGGGGGCGGGGCTGAAGCGTGAGGGGCGGGGCGGGGCCTGGCTGAAGTGAGGGGGCGGGGCTGGGCCTGGCAGCCTCTAGGTATAAGTACTCCACCCACCACGTGGGAAGCGCACTGCACCAAGGCGGCCCTCCGCGAGAGTGTGCATCTGGGCACGAATGGAAGGCCTAGATTCGTCTACGCTGTCCGAGGTGACCGACGTAAATGATACCCCAGACGTGTCTGTGGGCTCCGAGGACCTCCACCGGCCGCTTGTGCTCAGGTTCTTCGACGGGTCCCGCTCGGCGGCGGAGGAGGAATCGGAGGAAAGCGAGGAGGCCCAGCCGGCTGGTCAAGAGGAGCCCGGGTCATCTGAGGGTTACGAGATGTCGGAGGAGCTCCGGGAGTCTGAAGGGCGCGAGGTGTCGGAGGAACCCGGGTCATCTGAGGGGCTCGAGGAACCCGGGTCGGAGGAACAGGGGACGTCTGAGGGGCGCGAGGTGTCGGAGGAGCACGGGTCATCTGAGGGGCGCGAGGTGTCGGAGGAGCACGGGTCATCTGAGGGGCGCGAGGTGTCGGAGGAGCAAGGGTCATCTGAGGGGCGCGAGGTGTCGGAGGAGCACGGGTCATCTGAGTGGCTCCAGGCGTCGGAGGAGCACGGGTCATCTGAGTGGCTCCAGGCGTCGGAGGAGACCAGGACGTCTCAGGAACGCGGGGTGCCCACGGAGGATGAGCAAGACGCGGTGTATCTGGAGCCCTTAAAGCAAGACGAGCTAGAGGCGTATGAAGAGCTTTATGAGCCCTTCAAGGCGCTGAAGACTGGGCGGCTGGGCAAAGCCAAGTTCCTTCCAATCCCGGTGACGGTGTCTCCGTCCCTGGTGGTCAGGCCTCAGCCTCCCGGTCTGCTGTCTTTGAGCGGTAGGTGTGTGTGGGGTGGGGGTGGGGGGCGATGAATATGGTCCCATCTAGAACTGGCCACCTGCCGGGGAGAGGTCGTATCCTAGAGACCGTTGTGTTTTAAAGACAACTCTTGTGTCCCTTAGTGCAAGGTCAGCAAGATGGCTCTTTCTACTCCCGCAAAGAGTTACAGTCCTAAAGAAAAAACAAAACAAAACAGCAGAAAAAGATTTAACAGTCTTGGAAACCTCCGGGGCAGCCCTGCCCTGCCCTAGACGGTCCCTGTGAGTCGGAATCCACTCGATGGCCATACATTTGGGGTTTGGAGTTTACAATCACGCCCCTCTTTTTCATTTTGCAGGGTGGGGAGGGGAGTAGAAACTGTCTTGCAAAATAGACAAGGATGAATTTTTTTTTTTATCCAGATGACAGCGAACGACTTATTAGATACTAACTTGGCCATGCTGTGGCTCTGTATTTTCATCTTTGGCACCTGTGTTGTATTTGAAGAGCAGGCTAACCCGTTCTTCATGCAAGGCCCCAGTGCTCACGTCTTGGTGGACAGAGGTCTCTACAGTTCTAACTGTGCGGCTGGAGAAACGTACTTGTTTATGAGTTTCCTTGACTGTTTCCTGCTGACCAGGTTAACAAGCGTCTGATAAACAGAGTGCTCATCTCTAAATGAATAATTGTGGCGATCTGTCCAGGACATCCTTTTCTCTAAATCACAGCACCCACAGTTTCCAGAATTTTGCTCCTTTAGCACAAACCAGATAAGAAAGAGTGAAGAAAGCACACATTTTAGCAATTGTCACAACTGTGCCTGGCAGA